TTACACCAGAAGTAGAACTGGTTTGCTTGGTCAACAAATGCCAAATGTTTTGTTTCCTTATAAGGAAATGGCTAATATATGTAATATTTATATAACATATAATTCATATTTTATCCTGATTTTTAGCTACAAGATATATATATATATATATATATATATATATATATATATATATATATATATATATTGTAAAGTGTAGGAGAACAAATAGTAGGATTACAGCATTCAAAACATTAATTTAAAAATAGTGCTCAATACATAAAAGTAGAGCCATAAATATTTATTTATTGTATGAAGTGTTACATTAGAACATGCACATATTCACTACAAAATTGTACATTTTTGTTTCAATGTCAAAAAAAGGGGAAAACCTTTTTTAAGACGTCTCATCAACAAAATTGTACATTGCTTCGATAACTGTATTTCTGAATAAAAATTTTTAGTAACACCATAATTCCCCACCTGATGAAACGTCTAAAAAGGTTTTCCCCTTTTTTTGACATTGAAACAAAAATGTACAATTTTGTAGTGGATATGTGCATGTTCTAATGTAACACTGCATAAGGGGGTTTTGTTTTTGTGTTGTTAGTTTCTTTTGACTGTGGGAGATGTATTATTTGTGGCTTTGCATATCAGTAGGAGTAAAAAAAAAAATACATCTCAAACAGTCAAAACATGAAAAGAAACTAACAAGACCACAACAAAAAAACCCTTGAAAAGGGCTAAATTAGTGGTGGAAAGTGCTTGGGACAATGGACAACAAGGACAGTTTTTGTACTCCCTTACTCCCACCAAATAGAAAAACGTAAGAAGACTGGAAAAATTAAATAAAAGATTAATAATTTTTTCCTTGTCCATTATATTTAACAAAAGATGTTTGAAAGAAAGGCTGCTACCCAAATATTCAATAATATATATATATATATATATATATATATATATATATATATATATATATATAAAGGTGGATGAATCACAAGTATGAATTAAAATGTAAAAGTCAACTATTTTTACAGAATACTAGCCAAATTTATTTTTTTCAAATTGACAAGAAAACCAGCCTTGTACATTTTAGCTGTGATGAAATTAACTTGCAAAAATCAAAAATGCATTTTTTTTTCTTTGATTTGGTATCTGGAGAGCTTTTCATCTGAGCAGAAAAAAATCTATTGTCTCAATACACTGAAAGCATCCGGAAATGTGAAAAAGTTGCTTCCTTTTATAGAGTACTAGCTAATTTTTCTCTTTTTAAATATTTTCCATTGGTCTAGAATTTTTCATGCAATTCAGATGACAAGCAAAAGATACATTAGATTTTTTTTTAACTCTTATATTTGGAAAGTTCCTATTCATCTCCTCTCCTAAGCTCAAAAGTATACTGAAAAAAAAAAAAAAAACAGATCTATTGTCTCAGTAAAGAATAAACCTAAATGTGAAAGGCTAACTCTTTATCACGAAATACCAGCTAATTTTTTTTTTGCCAAATATTCACAAAATCAGACTTAAATTTTATCTTGTGCAGTTTAGCTAAAAAATAGATACTGCATCAGTTTTCTAACTCTTACATGTGCAGATCTCAAAATTCATTTCTGCTATATTAAAAGCAACTCTATCATCTTAGCTGAGAGATTGAATTGAAATGTAGAAGGGTTAAGGTGTAGATGATTTCTTTTGAAAGGTGGCACAATCAGTACGACAGAGAGAAAGAGGCAGCTCGATAAAAAAAAAATGCATCCTGAAAAAGATGATAGTAATGAGGAATGGTGATAAAGTTGCTGTTAGCTGTGCACTCACTGGAAGGAAGCTGCAGAACAATTGGGTTAATGTGGCGTTTGGGTAGATTTCTAGAAAAGGAAAGAAAAAAAGATACAGCAAATCATACCAGTGTAAGCGTTTTATAAAAGGGGACCTTTTATAAAACATACAGCAGACAGATTTAGATAGGAAAAGAAACAACTGCTGTTTACCCAGAGCAAAATTGGAGACAAAGAAAATGTAAAAAAAAAAGGAAAATGAAAGGTATTAACAAAGCTCTGCAGATTAAAGATACGATGTATACTGCTGCAGAAAATACATTTCTTTCTTTTCTTTTTTTTTTTAGCAATTACATGCTTGTGCAATGACACATTTTAGATCTGTTTAAAATTCCAATATGTCTACAAGGTGATATTGAAATATTCCCGGACTCTACATAGTCTTGGCTTGGAGGTTTTGAGGACTGTGGAACCACCTCTTAATTGCTGTTGCACACAGGCCCATCCTGACCCAGGGTGGTAGCACTTTTTAGAGTCCCAGCTATGAGCCCTCACACAAAAACAAAACACCATGAAAGTATAGACACTGTTATAGTAAAAATGCCATCAATAAATTTTTAAATAAAAAAAAGTTACCAACACTGCATATTTATAGTAAATTTACCAACAATACATATTTATAGTAGAATAACCAACAATACATTTTATCTCTAGTTAAAGGCATACAATTGCATTCAAAATATATTTAGTTGAAGCCATAAAATTGTGTTCAAAATATTTAGATTTCAGCATTAAATAACCCATAGAGGTTTATATGCTACTAACCAACCAACCAACCGGACTCTACATGCTATGATCATACTACTCCACAGTCTTATTTATTTAGTCAATTTATTTTATGCTATCTACTCATGTTCAATTATTACATGAGTTTTTATAATGTCATATATTGCAATAACTCTGCAATCTTTACAATGGGTGGCAAATTCAAGCAGTATGACTGTATCAGATTTTGTATTGAGGGTTTAGCAAATCTGCTACCATGACCATCAAAATTCTTTATCAAATTTTTGGCAATCATTCTTTAATTCAAACACATGTTTTTGTGTGGTATATGTATTTCAAGTTTGATCAAGGGTTGGTTGAAGATGATGTACATTCAGAATGACCAATCATCACCAGAATAGTAAAAGCAGTAAAAATTTACGTACTCATCTATAAGAAGTATCAACAAACAATCCATCAACTCTCTCACACAACAGTAATTATTTACTGAAGTAATAACATGATTTTTTTTAGGTCTACTCTAGAAACTTTCCAAACTCATCTCATATAAATCTTGACTAGCTTCTTTGGCATCTACAAGTGAAACCCCAATATATATGAATATCTTGCTAGTTTATTTTATGCTTTTTACTCATCTTTAAATATTATATGAGTTTTTTTTATATCATATTCGAATGGTTCTGCAAACAAAAGAGAAACTAAAGACTTTAGAAAGAACTGGAATCCCAATCCTAAACAGGAAAGAAAGGATAAATCTCTACTTCTGTTCAAAAGATCAGGGAGGGATGTGAATTACTTATTGTCTTGTTCACATTCCTTGCTGGTCTTTTGAACAGGAGTACAGGTTTATCCCTTGTTTCCTGTTTAGGATTGGGATTCCACTTCCTTCTAAAGTCTATGCAGTAGCCCTTTTGTTTTAGTGGCATTATCACCTTTCTGGCGAACTGATTAAAAAATATTCAAGCAATATAATTTTTTTAATTTGGCATATATTATTACTCAGTTCTCATTAGGTGCACCAAAAGTTGTGACCTTCAATGAGAATGAATTGAAACATGAACCCATCACTGTCATTTCAGTTATTATTGCCCCTAGAAATCGTTTTTTTTGATTTTTTTTCATGAATATTGTTTCTATTTCTCATATCTATCTCTTATAATAATGAGCTAGAATTTTCTATTAGATTAATGTCTGCTAATACCGAGGACCATTCTATTCATTTGATATCTTTGGAGACATTTTTGGCAAGGTGAGAAATGGTCACTCTTGCAGAATATGAAACGGCATTGTTTTGCTTGCTTGTTGTGACTTGAACCATTTCAATTAATAAAAATTGAAAGGATGAAAATAACTCTATAATTTTATTGAAAAGTTTAATCTAAGCACAGAACAGTTTCACATGGGCTCCATTGGTTGCATGCAGCACATCTTGATGATGCCTGTTGTGACTTGAACCCTTTAACCCTAGAACACTAACCATGGGTATATAGTACCCAGTTCAAATTTTTCTATTTTTAATTACAATTTTCAGTACCTGGTTTTCTTACCTAAATAATATGTTTTTCAGTTCCTATTAATGTTAAAGTACAAAGTTTGAAGTGCCTGCATGTAAAATATTTCAAATAAAGATTTATATTTAATATTTTTTTTGATATTTTCAAAATCAGTTATGATATACCCATGGTTAGTAGTGGTGTAACTTTAATGGATGGTTAGTGTTCTAGGGTTAAAAGCATCTTGTCCAAAAGAAGATAATACTTCATTGTCTTTATCTTAATACCAATTCCAAATTTGAAGGGACCTATAATCTTACTACCAACAATATTTGCCCAAAACATTACTTTACTTTCACCTGCTGATTTGTCAGCCATGTTAGTTTACTATTTGCATGAAGGAGGACCTAAGCTTATTCGTAGCATGTTTAGTTTTGATTGGGGGCTCCTGAAATTGTGACCTTCAACCAGAATAAAATGAAACATTAACCCATCAATGCCATTTCAGTTATTATTGCTTCCAGAGATCTTTTCTTTGCATGAATGTTGTTTCTATTTCTCATATCCATCACTTTTAAATAATAGGCTACAATTTTCTATTAGATTAATATCTGGTAACATCAAGGGCCATTCTATTAATTTGGTATCTTTGGGGCCTTTTTTGGCAAAGTGGACAATACTCACTTTTCCATTTTGTTTTCATTTTCTATGGTTTATCAAGACTTCTTCTGGTTATTTAAAGCCAGAAAGTATTTTTAGATTGTTAGATTTTTTTTAGGGGTAACAATGATTTTAGTGATACAAGTTTTACTAATTAACCCATAGCTTGGAGGAGAAGAGGTGGATTCATACCTTTCCTAAGGGTATTTGCACATAAGGGAATATAAAAGACCTAATGGAAATTAGAACTCTGCCCTCCAATTAACAATTCTGAGCAATTATCCATTACACCATCTACACATCAAAGCTTACAGCTCTTGGTATTCCCAAGTGGTCACCCATCTAGGTATTGACCAGACTCGACATTGCTTAACTTCGGTGATTGTACATGGACCAGTGTTTCAACATTATATAACTACAAGTAATATTTCTTTTAAGGCATTTTTATGTTTATACATTCTTTTTATAGATAAAATCTTTAAGTAAATGCTCTGTTTATAATATTTGTATCTATAAAAAGAATGTATAAACATAAAGATGTCTTAAAATAATTGTCGGATTTTGTCCATTTCATAATGTGTGATATTTCTCTATTAGATTGTTATTTCCAAGAATAATTTTATATTCGCAAGATTATAAAAATATGTGAACCAACTATAATGAAATATTCATTATTTACCATTTTATAATTCATAATATTCATTAATATTTATTAACATTTTATAATTCATTATATTCAATAATATTTATATATTCATAATATTCATTAATATTTATTAATATTTTATAATTCATTATATTCATTATTCCTATATTTTATAATTCATTATATTCATAATATTCATAGTATTCATTAATATTTATTAATATTTTATAATTCATTATATTTATTATTTACCATTTTATAAAGAAATATGAAATGAAACTTTTTTGTTTATAAATTTATTAAAATATCTGTGAACAAGAAAATTTAAATAACCATATAACAACTAGTAACTGCCATTATAAATTTTGTAAATATGCATTTTCTGAGCATAAATTTCATTTAGCCTTGCCACAAAAATTCACTAAAACAGGTTGAGAGCATCTGTTCCTATTACATATTTTGAGAATTATTTTTTCAATTTTTGAATAACAAGATTTCTTTTCAAATTTATTTTTATATATATTATTTTTTATAACATGGTAAATAATAAATCTTTATAAGAGTTAAATAAGAGATATCGCATTGTGCTTGGTTCACATATTTTTATAATTTTGTAAATAAATATTCCTGAGGGGGTCAAAAGTGTATACAGTAATAGCAGTGACAAGGGAATAATCATCTTTTAAAACACAATTTTTTGCAAGTATGAAGGTTAATTATTGCCCAGTGTTCTTATAGTTATCTATTTCTAGTAAATGGCATTTTTTTATTTTTCATCAAATGGGTCAGTACAGCCAGACAACAATGCTATAACTATGCAGCAATGAAAGGGTTGTAGAATGTAAAATGGACTTTTGCATTACAATAAAAAATAATAAGATTAAAGATAAACTTGTCAATAAGCCTTTAGTGGCTTGTTACAGTCTAAGAAAAGAGGAATGTTACCTAAGCAAAAGGAAAAAAATGGATCTATAGTTGATTTGCTTTTTGCCCAATGCATGTATGAAGAAAAGGACATAATTTTTTTCCATGAGGGATTTTTTTTTTAAAAAGCGAAAATGCTGAGGATGTTACGTATGCTTTAAGAAGGCACTCAATGTGGATTTTAGAAGATAAAAAACAAAAATAAAAAAAAGCAAAATAGCTACATTATAAAAAATGTCCAGGAATTAGCTAAGGTATTCTCAGATTCTCCAAGACACTCAAAAAGGATTTTCATTATATAAAAATGTAAGAAATCTGATTTCAAAAAACTCAGGCATTGAACAACTAAAAAAATTACCTTACAGATTATTATACAATATGAAATAAACATTTTTGTGCATGTATAACAGAAAATCTATAAATCTAATAAAAACTTCACAGGCATCAATTAGAGGAAATATTTATGTGGGCAGGTTCGGCAAAATAAATTATAAGTATTTTTTTAGTGTAATATTCTATACTTCTTCTATTTACCATGTCCCCTCAGGACAGAAGTAATAATGGCTCTCCACAACTTAATGTCACTCTTAGCAATTATGTGCCACATCCCTTCAGGAGATAAGTGATCATGGATTTCCACAATTTATGTGAATCTTAGTAATTGTGTGTCACATCCCTTCAAGACATAGGCGATCATGGCTCTCCACAATCTTATGTGAACCTTAGCAGTTATGTATCAAATCCCTTCAGGAGATAGGCAATCATGTCTCTCCACAACTTGTGTGGAACTTAGCAGTTACGTACCACATCCCTTCAGGAGATAGGCGATCATGTCTCTCCACAACTTATGTGAACCTTAGCATTATGTGCCACATCCCTTCAAGACATAGGTGATCATGGCTCTCCACAATCTTATGTGGCTCTTAGCAATTATGTACTATGTCCCTTCAGGAGACTGGCAATTATGGGTCCCTACAACTTATGTTGATCTTAGCAATTGTGTACCACATCCCTTTGGGAGATTAGTCAATCATGGTTCTCCACAACTTATGTGGCTATTAGCAATTATGTACCACACCCCTTCGGGAGATAGGCGATCATGGCTCTCTACAATCTTATGTGGCTCTTAGCAGTTTTTCTCTTGCTACCCCACCATCCCATTCTTGCATCCATTTACACAAGCTCATCAGGAAAGTGGCTCATGTCTTTGCCTACTTATATTGCGCTTTATATACGACATCAGGGTTAAGTTTATGAAGCCCTCCTTCCTTATTATGCCCAAGGAATTTCAGCTGTCTTTTCCTGATTTTGAATATTAGTGTTCTTTCTGTTACCATTTTTTAAAGACTTCCTTTTGTAAATTTGCAATAGAAAAATATTACCCTGCTTTATTGTGTTTTTGTATCAGATATGCAATTTTTTATAATGCCATGTTGCTTCGGCATATAGTTGAACTTGGTTCTCCACAGATGTCTTTTTCTTTATAATCTGTGAAGTGCCATGACTTTGTGGAAAAGATAGTGAAGTGGTTCTCATGTCCCTTCTCCATAATTTAGAGTAGTCATTCTAGAATAGCTACTACTCATGGCTAGAGAACACAGTCTACTCTACTAATTAGTTTGAGGAAGAATTTTAAAAAATCATGTATTTCCCAAGGTCATTAGTGCAAATTGGAACAGAAATGGCAAAAATTTGAACTCAGATAACCAATTCTTCTTTCCACAATGATATCTATTACATTAAATGCACATGCATATGTGATAGATAGTGCAAGTGAAGTTTTGACACATTAACCAGTAATCTGCTTTTATATATATATATATATATATATATATATATATATATAAAAGAATTAGCAAAAACATTGCACAATTTATTGTTAAGTGTTTGATAACAGCCTTTTTTATTTGGAGACATAATAATGAGAAGAAAGATTGAATAGGAATGGTTGTTCTTGGAAAAGATAATAATTTACTTTCCTGTTGCCTTATTCATGGTTTTAATTTCAGAGTTGTCCTTCTCCTAGATCTGTGGTGACACTGATGTACTGGCAACCAAGATGAGAGTGCCTAATCTGGTCTACTATTTAACCCATAGCTTGAGGAAGAAGAAGGAGGATTTCTAATGTTATATTAGTAACATCTGAATATGAGACTAAATAGATATATTAGTAACATAGAATATGGGAATAAATTTCTCAGAGAAAAATGAATTATTTACTCATTTCTAGATTCTGTCAAATTAATACTGGCTGAGTCAAGAGTATGTGATTCGGGGTCTTTTATTGAACATTTGATCTTTTTGCAAGAATATGAAGGAGTCTTCTTTTCCCTTTGTTTATATAGATATTTATATAACTACCTGTTATCTTGTTTTCTTGTGTGTATATATTCTAAGTTCTGCTGGGTTCCCTTCCTTGTTTATGTTGGTGCATCCACTGACATTCTTTCAATTCTAGGGGCTCCTATGTTTTTTGACTTTCTGAGGTGACACCAAGTACAGAATTTACATTGGTATCTCTTGTGATGAACCCAGTACATCAGTGTCACCACAGATCAACTCTTCTTAGATCAAGGTTCATGATGGATATTAACTTCAATTAATAACTCCAGCATTTCTTGATATGAATCACTAACTACAGATTCATGCTTTTCCAAAAGGCATTAGTGCTGAGTGAACAGAAACTGTTTCAGCCAGTATATGAACACAACTTACCATTTTCATTTTCAGTCGTTAAGAACTGATCCTGTAGCTGAAGAAGGAAAAAAGAGAAAGAAAAAAAGAGGAAAGAAAGAAAGAAAGAATCTTTTCTTACTTACCTGGAGAACAGAAATAGAAAGTGTTGACTAAAAAATGTTAGATTAAATACTTTTACTGATAGAAGGAGTCATTGCAAATTGTGGGTAAGTAGGCAAGATAAAAAGCCGGAAGCAAGGAGGGAGGCATCTTTTTTGGGTGTTTTGTTGCATTGAGAAGATATCTGGGGGGGGGGGACAGTGTATGAAACAAACCAGATGCAGGTGGGTGAGGAGGAGAAAGTTATGACAACTAGTCAGATGTTCTGACAGATTTAGTAAAAGGTTGAGGTGAAAGTACTTTTCTTTGTTCTGGACAAGGATAAATGCACTGAGGTTAAGTTTGATTTTTTCACTCTTGAATCAAGACTACAGATCCATAAAAAATAGTTTATTCCATTCAGAAATGCTTTATATTTTCCAATGAGGACATTCCAAAATTATTCCTTTGCATAGATTAACAGTTCCATAGCTAAACTATTTCCTAGCACTTGGTTTTTGGAATGTCATTAAATTTTCTAACAGTTTACCAACATTACTAAAGAAGAAATTCATTTAACTACTAAACCAGTATAATACAATAAACTTCTACAACACAATAGAAATTGTTGTAACAATTAAATAAAGACATTGGCCTGAACATTCAATAAAGACATTGGCCTTATCACTAACCCATTATAAAACAATGGACTTTTGTAATGCAAAAATTGTCTTAACCATTGGCTAAAGAAAATTGTCCTAACCCCCAAACCATTATAAAATAATAAACTTTCACAACAAAAAAAGGCATGAACATTAAATGAAGAAAATTGACTTAACCACTCAATAAATAAATTTGCCTAACCACTAAACCATTATAAGACTGTGGACTTTTACAACACAAAATTTGGCCTAACTATTAAATAAAGAAAATTGGCCTGACCACCAAACCATTATAAAACAATAAGCTTTCACAACACAAAAAATGCCCTAAACATTAAATAAAGAAAATAGCCTAACCACTAAACCATATAACACAATAGACTGTTGGCCTAACCATT